AAAAAAAAAAAAAAAAAAAAAAAAAAAAAAAAAAAAACTGGGGGGGGGGGAAGAAGACACAACAATCACAATTCCTTGAAGTTGATATGACAAGCGAACAGATATGAGGTTGTTGGGAAGGAGGGGGGAGAGGGAGGAGGGAGGGAGGTTTTGGTAACTGGCCACGATAATCAACCACATTGTATATTGACAAAATAAAGTAAAAAATTTTTTTAAGTAAAAAATAAATATATAAATAAATAAATAAAATTTTTAAATTGTTAATTATAAAAAATAACAAAGATAAAAATAATACATTCTTCTCATTATTTTTTAAATTTATCAACAAGAGCCTAATTTTTAAGCTTGATTTTTTTTCTTCTGTCCATGTTTTAAGAAACTACAAATATGGAATTTGGTGACATACTAATTCAAAAACGTTATGCATCTGGTTAAGACTCTATACCTCAACTTTATTGACTATAGCTTCAATATGGGGAAACTGTAGCCTCCTAAATGTCTTATTCTGGCAAACCAGGAGAGTAAGAAGAAATGTAAATATAAGGCTAAGAGGATTACTGTCTTTATTCTAACTAAAAATCCTGCCTATTTCTCTATTTTTAAACTCCACTAACATTGTTAAATGATAATTGTATCTTCTCAGTGAGCACAGTTCCTTATTATTGGAATTGGCAGGGGGCCTTGACATTTGAGTCATCATTTCATTATGTCTATTTCTTACCCTGGTATACAAATTAAATAGAAATACAAGCCAAATGAAATATAGGGGGAAAAAATCTAAAGCAGTAACATCAAATGGAATGAATTTTTCTAAATCTATAAATATGTAAAGCAATTAACATTGGTAATAATATAATCCAGTCCAGGCACATTTTCGAAAGTACTGACTTCAATTCTAAAGGCCAAAAATGCTTCAAACCCTTCTAGCCAAATATTGCATTTCTGTAAAACAAGATGGATGAGTTTAATGTTCCCTAAATTAAAAAGATAGAATGATTCCAATTTTAAAGCAACTACAAATGTGGACAGAAGTACACATTCAATATGTTTCTTTCATTCTAAAAGGCTTCAAAATGGATAGCAATCATTAAACATAAACAACATACACATGTGGAAAATATTACTTAAAACATCACTGTGTGATCAAATAATAATAATAATAATAATCCATTCAGACGAAAATATCCAAATGTGCCAAACTGAAATCCAGGTCTATCCATCAATGTTTTCAATTCGCTGAAATTATGTGATAAAAACATCACTGAATAAGTTTCCTAAATCACCTGATTCAATCATACTGAATGAATGTGCATCATTCCGTCTTTCTCAAAGAGTTTGCTTAAAATTTTTTCATTGATTTTCAAAATTATAAAAATTAATCAATTATGAAATTAATGCAGTATAAAGTCCTCAAAAATATTTTTGGCTCTGCTTTCGGGAGGCTATTTCCTCATTTATTTAGTTTATTATTGCAGGCCCTTCAGGATATGTGTAGATTATTCATTCACAGAGTTTGTAATCGTTTCTACAACTCTCATTTTACCTATTTATTTTAAGAATAAGGTAGTCAAGCCCCACAATGTTGAAATACATTTTCTCTCATAGTTTGACTTCAGTCAAAGGAAATATTCATGAGTTTACATTATCAGGTTTTTAGTGAGTCCTATAATTTTTATAATTGCTATGGCTAGTATTAATAAATGTCTTCTTTTTATATGCTGAAATAAATTAATGGATGAGGCTGACATTATGCAAAATGGCTGGGAATGGGGCCAAATCTTTTTACATACATCCAGGGACCAGTAATCTTCTAAATGCCACTTTATGCTCTCTTGCCTAAATAATTACAAGTACAGCCAGCATGTAATTTACTGAAATAATTATTCACTCTTCTAGTTTCTATCAACCCTCTCAAGTCCACAACCACTTACCTTGTCTTTATTTTCAGTGCCAGAGGCCTCAGGCTTGGTCCTAATCACAAAAGGGGTGGACAGTCGCAGCAGGACCCTTTCGAAGGTGGCATTAACCTTTGGAGAAACAATCTCAAAGCAGTCCTCAAACTTGAGCACTTTGTGCGTGTCGCATCGGAACTGCTTCCGGAGGCCCTCCCCCAGCTGAAGGACTGACATGTTGGGGTCAAACATCAAGTGGAAAGGGAAGGCTCTGCAGAAGGTGTTGATGCTAATTCTGAGGTCTGCAGGAACTTGAGAGGTCCCCTGTGGAAGATTCTTCGTAATATTAGTATTTTCACATTCTTTGATAAGGAAAGTAAGACAGCTACAATTGCCTGGATTTGAGCCATCAGAGCACAGCTTCTCACTTGCAACCTGTTCCACGTCCACATCCAGCCGATAGATCTTCTTTCCTGCAGCCTTGATCATCCCCAGCATTGCAAATCCCACAGTATGGTGAGGGTGGAAGTAGTGGAGCATGAGAGTACCTTCAGGGAGCTCTTTGCATAGGAAAGATGGTGACTCCAGAGTGGCCTGTTTTCCAAAAGAAGTTCTAATGTGTTCCAACAAAGCATCAAAGCCATTAAAAAAGTCCTGCAATGTGCCACCTACAGCTCGAAGGACTCTCTCATTCTCATCAAAGCATATGTTAAAGAACTCCTCTCCAAATCTTTCTTGAATTTCCTCAAACTTCAAACCTACAGGTAAATGGGAAGCAAATATTAGTGAAGTAGAATATAAATAATTGAATTTATCTTTTTAAATGCTTATCAAAAGAGATAGCTAGTGAATGAAGCAAGAGAGGTATTTTCCTTGGGCCCACAAATTTCCCACATAGGTTAATTCATTCATCTGAAATCAGAGAAAGTAAATTTCGGTTCATCAACTGGAAGCTTCTAAGATATAAATGAGCAAAAACTTTTTTGTTTATTTTTAATAGACTCTATTTTTCAGGCCAGTTTCAGGTTCACAGCAAAATTGAGAGGAAGGTACAGAGGTGCCCCAAATACCTTCTGCCCCCACACATGCACAGCCTCCCCCGTTATCAACATCCCCCACCAGAGTCATATATTTGTTATAAATGATGAACCTACATTGACACATTATTATCACCCACAGTCCACAGTTCACATTAGGATTCACTCTTGATGTTATGCATTACATGGGTTTTGACAAAAGTATATGACGTGTATCCACCATTGTCTAGCTCCACTGCCCTAAAAATCTTCTATACTCTGCATTTATCCCTTCCTTCCCCTCACTCGCAGAGCATGAGTTTTTAAGTGTTGCTAATCTTGCTGCTCACTTTTCTTTTCGATACCCTTTTGTACTTCCTGAACTTATCACAAATATTTTTCTTTTTCTTAAAGATTTCCCCAATCTTTATAGAATATCCAAGATTGCCTCTGTATTATGTCCATATCCTATCCATATTACCATCATACTTCTTATCAAAATGCATTCATTAAGTGGAAAATATCAACCAGAGAGGGAGCCTATGGTACATATGTAGGGAAAAGGATCAAGTTGTCTAGTGGAAATAGAGGGCCTATGTTGTCAATCTCAGGGGAAGTCATGAAGGTCAGCTAGACCTCAGGGATTGAGAGACAAAACAAGAAATTAAAATTGGCAGAGCTGTGGAATGACTTGGATTCTTTCACGCACCAATGTGAGGACAACTAAGAGTGAGTAGAAGTCTGAGAATTAAAAGACTTTGTTAAGTTTTCTCAGTACATACTCACTCCCAAATGCCCTGGCAAAAGGACTCCACTGTATAGTATGGGAATTATCATGAAAAATAAATAAAGCAATGCACATAATGCATTACAGAATAATTAGTAGCAGGATCACATGTGACCTAGTGAGATCCACCCTTGTGGATGATCTGAGGAAAAATATGGAAAGAATTTATGATCTAAAGAGGAATACAACACATAGAAAAGAGTTGAGTCTGCATGCTAAAGACAGCTTCTAAATAGAGTCACTCTATTGCTTCTTCCTTGACTTTGGTTAAAATCAACACATGTAGTTTACATATTTATATTTTCTTGCCCGGTCTACCCCATCTTATCAGGAAGTCCTGCAAATCAAGCAGGACTGGGAAAAGACAGCAGGTCATTTTGCTAGTGCCCTGTTGGAGTGCAGAGCAATTTCGGCTGTCTATGGCCTGCTGTTCCTACCTTTATCATTCCCCTAGTATCCCCCCATCCAGAAGTGAGCCAATAGAACAGTCAGTAATATTATTTAAAAAGTAGAGTTAAAACACACCAAATATTCTTTGAGCTCTTACTGTAGAGTCTAAAAATTGTGGTAGCCAAGTTAAGAGGTCAGTTGAACAAAAAAGTTCTTAAAATCAATGCGAAATGAAAATAAGTAGAAAACTGAAATGAGAGTCAGTCCCTTTATTAAGAAGCATTTCACATTAATTCCGTTTTCATAGATTTGATGTTCAAGGCTAGCTGAGAAAGTCTTCAGTTAAGATAAAAACATCACCACTCATCTCACATTGCCAGGTTACAAGATTAATCTTCAACATATGTTGCACTTACTAATAATAACACCAGCCAGAATGGATAATAATAGCACTTATCTGTCCAGTTCTCTAGTGTGAAAGAGAGAAAACAAGATGATAGTTACTGCAACTGGGCTCCTGCTCTGACTGCTCTGTTGAAACTGCTTTCACAATTACTTAAACCAATATATACTGTTTTGTCCTTACCTTATTTAACCTTGTTTTTCATTTTTCCTTTAATTTGACACTACTGATTATCTCTTCCTCTTAAAATTCTCATCTCTTTTGGCTAATCAAACCATATTTTCATGGTTTGATTACTATCTGTCTGAAAATTCGTTCTCTTTTTTCACTAAAATTTCTTTCTATGCCAAACCATTACAATGCCATCACTATGCTGTAACTAAAAAATTCTAACACATACAAATTAAATTCCTGTCCACATTTGATGATGATGTTCTTTGTTGCTATAAAACCTTCCAATTATAAAATTCTTATTAAAAACTAAATTCAGAATAAATAAAAATTCCTATAATCTGACTATATTTTCTGAACTACAATATTCCATGTGACACTGAAAATATTCCATGGATTCCTTCTAAACTTTGAAGTGTTGTGTATTCAAAGAATTTAGGGTCTATATGCACAGAAGAGAATAAGGGAATTGTTCCTACCTTAAATTTCTCATGACATTGAAAATTCCCTTTCAGTTATTAAGTAAAGAACACAATATATAAAGACTATACACTAAGCTATGTTCTATTTCCACTCCCCAAATCCCAAAGAATCATCTAGAAAATAACAAGTCAGTAAATTCACCAAAGGCAATGAAATAAAAATTACTCTATGTGCAAGATTCTATCAACTAGAAATCCTTGCTGCTTTAAAAAGTACCTCTGTATTTTAAGATACAATGATTATTAATTTTCAAATGATGATACTAGGCAAACCAGGATGCTAAAGTGACTTTTCTATCACTAAGCAAAAACAGGGTTGTTCTGAGTATTACATGAAAGTATTACACACAATAATTCTGTATAAAACATAATTTTCAATTAACTAATAAAGATTTATATTCCCATAATTGTCAAACTGCACAAGATCTGAAAAAAAGAAAAAAAAATTCTTAGAGTTTGGAAAATTCAAACTGGGAAAGATCACTTCATTTTTTATGAATATACTCCAAATCAATAGCCAAGTCCTCCATTTTAAATGTTATCTCACAAAATTCAGAAAGCACAGACAAAGTAGTTCACCTCAGACAAATGATACAGTTCTGACTCCCAGTGTTCTGCCTATGATTGACGCAAACCCCCTACTTACAGTAAATCACTTGAAACCTATAGACAACGCTCATCTCCTCATATCGCAAGATGCTATGACAGTTTGACATTTGAGACTACAAGAACACATTTCCTCAAGAGGCAAAATTTATTACAAAACTGCTCTCATTAATGGGTAAGTTAAAAGTTAGATCTGCAAATTAATATTAATTCACCTCCTTAAAAAGGTGAACAGTCTAAATGCTGGTATCCCTTAGCTGTAAATGAAATAATATCTGTTCATTCATGACATGGCCTGTTGACTGTTACCTGCTATCTCATCCCACCTCAGATTGTGCATTTCTTGAGGACAAGGACCTTGTTCTATCTATGTCTGCATACCTACCACTAGCATAATGCCTGGTGCATGGAAAATAAGCACTTATTCTTTCATAGAAACTAAGCACTCATCAGGTATTCGTTTGACAAATATTACCAACCTTTTAAGGTCACCATTGTGTCACATCTAGGAACACTAAGAAAAAAAGACAGTTTCTTTTCTCTCATGGGCCCCTACAGGTCATTAAGTTACATTGTGATTGGGCTGTAACAGAGGTGCACAGGAATACCTACAGAGGTACAGAAACAAAGAATGTTTGCCTCTCTTTGAGGAGATAATGTGTGAAGGAAGACCTGAAGATATAGTAGGTGTTCAAAACACCCACAAGGAAGAGAAGAGCACTCCAGCAGATGAACCGTAATGGATACGGATGAAGTGGGGAAGTGTGGGAGCTCAGCACGGTCAGTGTGTAATGACAGGGAAGCAGGAGTCAGAGATGAATTGTTAATTAGTCAGCATTGCAGAAGTTGGACTTGAGATTTTCAAGGCCAGAGTCAAAGACATTAGCCAGAGAAGTTGTGATGTCTTTAAAAGAAGAACATATTGACTGAATTAGGCTGTCCTAGTTTTCATAGATTTTTTAATCCTTTTTTAAAATTCCCATGTAGGTATTTTTAATCATCCTCATTTTACAGGTGAAGAATGTTAAGAAATTTGCCTAAGTTCTCACAACTGTAGGTAGCAGAGCCAGGTCTCGAAGTGAAGTCTAATATGAACTCTTGTGTAATAAAAATGTATCAAAGAGTAAAACCTCTGTGTGGGGGAAAAATCATGCATGTCTTGCACATTGTTATATAACAATGGTCATTAAGTTACATTGCACTTATTCTCCATGCACATATATGTCATCAATGCCTAGTATTCTGACTGGCTCATTAAATACTGGCTGGATGTTGAATGAACTAATGCATGACCAAAGTCAATAGAAAGAAGTAACAAGGAGCCGTCAAAAGTTATCAAGTGCCACAGCAAGGTCAAGTAAGATAAGGACAGAAAACTGTCAACTGGATTTGTCAGATCTTTGGGGACCTTGGACAGAGCAATTTTAGTGGAGGAGTAGAGACAGAAGACTGCCTGCAGTGGGTAAGGAATATTTACCAGGCAAAGAAACAGAAATATTAGTTTTTAGCCAAATCAGTTTTATCTAAAGTCTAAAATTACTTATTTTATAAAGTTGTAAAAAATGAACTCCATGCTTGGAAAGGGAAATGTTGCCTTCATTGAAAACCAAGTGAGGAAAGAGAGATACAGCACTGAATAAAATCATGGATCATCTGGGAGAAGTTCTATTAATAAAAGAGGGAAATAAGCCTCTTTCTAGGTCCAGAGACCATCCCTATCAACCAGCAAGGGCATCAGCCTTCACTAACATGGGAAAATGCCACAGCAGAAAGTATACTTTCAAGTTGCTTAAACTCTAACCAAGGAGCTGAATACAAACCAACTACTCACTTCTGTGAGTTGAAGACTAACCATTATTTTTTGATTAGTTGCCTAGTCTTCATCAACCTAATAACTAAGTGA